GATTAGAGACTCCTGGTATGGATCTGTCAGATAATCAGACTTTGAGAAAATGAAAATTAGTCTTTGACCTATAAGACAAGACAAACTACAGACTTCAGTGACCTAAATTCTCAATTTTGATTCTCTGAGTCAAAGGTATCATTATTATTATTACACCTGTTCTGCAGGTATACATGAGGAAATCCTTGTACAGAACATAATAATGGTTCTGTTTGTACCCCTCTCGTAGCACATCCATGGCCTGGAGGGTTAAAAGATAACAGTCAATAACAGGGTTGAAGAAACAACAATTTTTGTCTGTTGGAGCTTGAGGCAAAACTGGACGAGTAACGCCCTTCAAGCTACATGTGTTTGTGACTTTTTACATAAATCAATACGCCACTGCAGTCATTCTGCAAGAAAATGTGTTTTGGGTGACTTTTTACATAAATCAATACGCCACTGCAGTCATTCTGCAAGAAAATGTGTTTTGGGTGACTTTTTACATAAATCAATACGCCACTGCAGTCATTCTGCAAGAAAATGTGTTTTGGGTGACTTTTTACATAAATCAATACGCCACTGCAGTCATTCTGCAAGAAAATGTGTTTTGGGTCCGTGGCTGAAGGGAGGGGTTGGAATTTTTCTTTGGTTGGATACAATTTTGCAGTAATACAAAGGCAGGTTATGAGTAAATAAATGAATGAATAAATTTCCCTCCAACACATGACAACTCATGTTGCCTCTCTATAGGTCAGCACACTGTCTACAGCAATCACAAAATGAAAATAACACTAGTCAGATGAAGTTTTAATTCAATAAATCATTCATATAATACCATATAATATAAGTATCTGTATCAAGTTTACTATATTTAATGTCTGTTGACAGCCTCCGATCAGGTACAAAAACCTTTTCAACACCTTCAACTGCGACTTTTCAAGGCCTACAGATACCCTGTAGAAGGGTAATTAAAATTATCTGGTTAAAAATACCAAAAATAAAATCCCACAGAGCTACTTAAAAACAGCTTTCTTGCTTTCCTAAAAGCTATAGGACACAAAGCATAAAGCCAAACTATTGGTCATTTTACTGAATTTCTATACTAGAATGAAATTATCTGCAGACCTGCAACTTCTAGACCAGCTTCACCTAAGAGGCTGTGACTCAAGAGGTTGTTTGTAAATCACAAGACAGACAATAACCCCATTGGTGTAAAATATGCTGGTATAAAAGTGCCATACAAAATAAATGCATTTCATATATGTCCTGTTAATCTGGATGATATGAATGATATGTAAGTGAGCGAGAAGAGGGAAGATAAGCAGTAAGTTTCAGTGTGGCAGTCAATTCTACGGTGTAGGTGTGTGTCCGTTAATGAAAGACTGTCTGTTGTTTTCCAACAGCTGGAATGTGAAGGAGGTTAGTGCTGGCCTGAAAGATAACAGTTCGTTTTTTTCGCCGCTAGTTCAAGTCAGTTTATTGTCAGTCATCCACACCAAGTACACAAATTAATGAAATGCCGTTTCTCACGGTCCTTGGTGCTTAAAACAATATCAAAATAATCAACTTACAAAGACAAGACACAATACAACACAGCCATGTAACTTTACACAGACAAAAAGCGCCGTGAACATGGTGTGGCTGGATCATTGTAAAGTGTGTAGTGCAACCCTTTCTGAATCTATACTAATAATAGCAGCACCAGAAATGAAAATAGCAGCAACAGAGGTCGGTAATAATTCTGTAATCACACTATGTAACATTAGCTACATTTATAGGAAGTAACGTTAAATAACCACATATCATTATTACCTACTTGGATGGATCATTACAAACACTTAAAATACTTAAAAAGTAACAAGTAGTCACACTTTGAGAAAATGAGATCCTTATTCTATTTGTTTTACAATCGTAGCCCTCTAATCATAATGTGATACCTACAGATTCCCACCCCTAGAGGTGATGCATCGTGATGCATAATAATTGGTGTGGGGCCCCAAAGCAAAATGGTTATTCAACTGTAACAAGAGTGTACGATTGATTTTGAGAATGGTTAACCACGATAGCTTCTGTTTTCCTTTATCTAATGCTTAGAAATTAGGAATCGTATAACTGCTTATGACATTTAGGAAGAGGATTGACATTGTTGAAAGATATATGATTAAACCCGCGCAAATAGACTTTCTTAGACATTACTCTTAATTTAAGGTTTCTTATAAAAGTTCCTCCCCGTTTGACAGGAGAGAGACAAACGTGGTCACCCTAGATCAGGATTTCTGCAGGTTTCACCTAGTCAAATTTATGACTTTGTAAGACCTTTTTAAGACATTTTAAACATTTAAAATGCCTTTATTGTATTGGCTTGGTCATATAAGACTTAAAATACATTCTTCCTTGCTCTTGCTGTCCCCGAGAGAGGTTCTGCGTGAGCACATTTACAAGGCTCTGTGCAGCTGCAGCTACTGTCGGGTTTAGCTCGACATTCTGACAAACAAAGGTTAACAAAGACAACACACGTTAAAGGCAATAAACTTGAGCTCGGCTCTGAAATAAGTGCAGAATTAACAAACCAGCTAGTAGTGTGAAGCTAGTTCATGCTAATCCTAGCAATGCCTGATTTCCAGCTTTGTCCAGTTGTCCACCTAAAGACAAGCTTTCCCTTTGTGTGCCTATGATATAAAAAATTTCCACTGTGGAATACTGTGTCAAAGTGTTGCTGATTAACTGCACAATCTGTCATAGGTTATTGTTCTCATAGTGTAATTTGTGTCTTGTGTTGTCTGTAACAGCTTTTTTAACTGAACTTTGTGGTGGACATGCATTTGTATACTGCTAATCACATATACGTGAACAGAATGCATTGAGTCACAGTTATCACTGAAGCAACAGTTTCTGAAGGAAACATGACTGAGGAGAGTCTTCTGCCTTCTTTGTTAGGGTGTCACTTATGATTTCAGTCCCTCTCAGTTGAAGCCACGCCCCCTCCGCAAAATCAGGCCCAAAAGTCTGGAACTGAAAAAAACTGAAACAATAAGATGTGAATGTGTAAAAAAAATGCTTTAATTCTCAAAACATAAAATATGGAACTGAAAATATAAGTCCTCAAATATCAAAATATATAAAAGTGAAAAATGAAAATGAATAATTTATTCAGAATAATTCCAGAATTAAATCAAAACATTTAAAATAAATGTTAATCGTACACTTATTTTTATTTTGAATATATGGTTGTATTTTTCAAGTTTAAGACCAAAACTTACATGTTCAATTACAAGTATTAACAAATTTGACAAATAAAAAACACAATGCTACTAGTTTTGGTATTTTTATTAAAACATTTTGTACTAAATGCAAATAACACTTAAATTACACTTGTAGCCTACTGTGCATGTCACCATATTTACTTTGCGACGACTCCCATTATCTTCACTACAGCAAAAAAATATCTGGGCCGTGTCTCAATTCGGGTACTTCCTTGAGTATACTAATATGCAGTACACTATGTACTTACTTGCTTAGTGCATTGATTTTGACAGGGTAGTGTTGTCTTAAATCAAACACTACTGTTGTGCACTAAACGGAAATGACTATCGCAAGATTGCACAATACTAACGTCATGTATAATAAAAATAATAAAATAACGACAGTCCTCTTTTCATACCATTTATGTTCTTTATTTGTTTTATTTAAGATTTAAAAGCCAATAATTTTCTGTCACGAGCCAGATGTCTCTTGATTTGATTTAAATGACTCAAAATGTAATGACAGAATAACGGCGGTCCGAACATTAAAACTTACAGCTAAGGTTTCCTCTGCTGTTGTTGCTGGAGTCAGCTGCTGTGTTGGCTGCAGAGGTCTAACCCTAACCTGGTTTTTGAACAAAAACATTAGTGTGGAGGTAACCTTAGCTAATCTCTAGCTAACTTAGTAGCTCATGAATCATGCATGTTAGCAGGCTGCCTGTTTGCCTGCCTGTTTGCCTATACCTGCCTAAGCCTAATGTCATGATGTCTATGAAGATTCTCAGTCATCCAGGTCATAGTTATCCAACGAAGGTTAAAATCAAGGGCAACTGCACTTTGTTGAAGATACTGGAAAACGTTTCATCCCTCATCCAAACTAATGCCATGAGTGCAGCATAGGGCTTATGAAGTAAGGGTAAGGAGGTGTGAATTAGGGCTGAACGATTTGCAATTGCAATTTTTTGCTATTACATTATTGCGATTTAATATGCGATTCATTTTTAAGCTCTTTACCTTCTGTATTATTACCGTATAGTATAACCAACACAATATTAGATAGATTAAACATACACTGTTCTTTCTTGTGGGTCAGGCCTGTGTTATGATGAAATGCATGAATTATTATTATGAGCAATGGGGAGAAGAAGTATAAAATTTTAATAATATCAGAAAGATAATTTGAGTCAAGTCATGGTCTTAAATAATATGATATAATATCATCAGGTTGGCCTACCTACAGACCACAAGAAAAACTAAGTTCACCAAAGTGTGTTATACAGTAGGTGCTCAATACAAAACCCACAGTTCAACCACCGATTGTTAGTTCAATTCACCCAGGAGTCCATCTTTCTATATCCCAGTAAGCAAACAAAAAATATTCAGTTTGAGGTTCAATTCAAAAGTTGGCCAATGAAAGTTGGCTTCCTTCGCAGACTGCTTTACTCTTGGCTGTTATGTGACCAGAGTGTAATCGCAGCCTTTGTGATTAGAAAATCCCGTTTTATCACATCGAGGTAATACCGCAAATGCATACCGCAAATTGTACAGCCCTAGTGTGAATACAGGAAGAGAAGTTTAAGCTCCAAATGTTCAATCAACAAGCTTTGATTTTCTGTGAATTGATGTTGCTAGGCTGGACGGAGAGTTTATGTCCTATTTTGACAGAATAAATCAGTAGCGTGTGTAAATAAGATACTGTTACTTGTAGAATTATTGAATCGATAAACGGTGTGTTGATCTGAGAGTGGAACTTGCAATTGACGTAAGCCCACAGAGGAGCCCTGCAGCCTCAGGCAGATTTTCTCTGAATTTTTAGGAAGAGGTGAAAAAAAACCCTCACAGGGGCGCAGCCTGAAGAAGGAGATCCATGGTTATATAAGTCGGAGCACAGCAAGCTTTCTTCAGTTCTGCCTTGTACATGCAGGGATTGAATTTTTTTTTTGTCTTGTAAGTTACAAAACGTGTTTGTGTGAGATTTTATGCTTTTGTCCTTCATCACAACTCTGAAAGTAAAGGGTAAGATCTTTATTAGTTTTCTCTACTTTTAATTGCTCTCACTTTCTTTCCAATTTAATTACTTATGATTGAAAATAAATGGACTTTTGAAAACCCTCCAGCGATCTAATTTACTGTCAGTGTTAATAAACAAATAAGATGTTTTTCACCATCAGGGTTATCACTTAATATCTGAAAATGTCTTTGGTGAGCAATTGTACTTGACAGTTAGCAGGGGGGGAAACTCCTGGTAGGAGAAATGAAGGTGTACATAAAGGGGCTGAAGTATAAACCACAGTCTTAACAATTTACAGCTGTGGAAGATGATTTCTCTTTAATGACACTTAACACTTCTGCACATATGTTCTGTGCTCTAAAAAGGATTAAAATAGGATTGATGAATATATGGATTTATCTGAGAACAGACGTCTTCATCACACTGGTTCAGTAGGTACAATAGGTAAAATATTTTACATTTAGCTAAATTGACTATTTGTGTTTTATTGTATGTTTGTTAAGATACAAGGTCCTCTAAGTATTAAGCAGTATTTCAGGCGGTTTTGTTACCTGGGTAGTTGCAAGCATTCGTAAAACAAATGTAAGATGGAGGTGTTAACAAGACAAGTGCATTGAACAAATATTCAATCATGACATTTTGGACACTGGATGATGTTAATAAAATTCAGCTGAAGTGAAGCTGAGGCACACATACAAAATTACATTCCTGCCTTTTTCTTCACAGAGCGGATCCATCTGTCTGTAAAAAACAAAGCAAAAAAACAGGCATCATGGAAACTGACGGGAGTGAAGCACTGAATAAAAAACACCATGGCACGGTGCAAACCCAGCCCCGGAAACACAAGACATCAAAGAGCGCCCATGTAGGAAGCTGCTGTCTTAAGTGCTGCGCAAAGAGTGTGAGCGAGGAGTGCTGCAGCTCATTTCTCAATTGTATCTTAAGTTGTTTGTGTGACAATGACGACACGTAAGTCTTAACCTCAGAAACGAATAACTGCTTGGCCATGATCACTCACTAGTTGCTTTGATTGCATTTGAAATGTGAATATAGTGTTAATTTGTGTCGTGTATATAATGTACTCATTTTTAATTCCTTCCCACAAAAACACTTCTGTTCTTTTGTCATTATTTTTAACATTGTTTTGTTCCTTCTTTTAATTACAGAAACTAACCTCGGATAGCGGGACCAGTTTTTCCAGGCTGGATTTGTTCTCAGCATCCTTCAACACTCTTCCTGATAGTCTGGTTTTCCTCTTATCTGACATATAATCACTTTAAGTCATTTTGTTCTTTTTTTTTTTTTTATAATCAAATTCACTGTCTGTATAAAAAACTAACTAGAAAGATGCAGTGGAAATCTGGAAATAAAATCTGAACACAAACTTGTCTTTTAGAAATCTATTATACCTCCTTCAGGAGAGACCAGCCAGCAGAGAATCTGCTGCTAACTGATGAAGATCTGATCTCTTTTACGATTGTTTTATATCCAGTCAGTCACACACAAAGAAAACCCACTACCTGTTACCTTTATTATCTGTCAAAACACTTGTGACTCTTGCACTGTAGGTTACAAAAGGTTATCCCCTTCATATACATGAACAAACTAAAAAGAACATAGCTACTTGTGATGTGTTTTATTTCCAGTTCATGCTTCTTCAGGCAGTTCAGAACTTGATGAATAACATTTGCAGTTTCATCACTATCTTCATAAAAGTCAAGTAACTTGCACCGCACTCTATCAGAAACAGAAAAATATCTCATGCACACAGGAAACATTTTTGTTTCCCTTGTTTGAGCCGTTGGTGGCACAGGCTCACCTTCAGATAGATCATTCAGGATATATTGCAAAGTCTTTGAATGTTCTGTTACATTCCTTCACTTTAAGGCACTTTGAACTGTGTCCGTGTTGGAAATTCTTGGTACAAATAGAAAGGAAAAAAATGCGTTTTCAAATGTAGTTTTAGTTTCCTACTCAAGCTTGAATCAACTGTATATGTTTATAAGTTTTAGCTTTTAAGCCCTAATTGACAATCATTAAACATCTTTTAAGTCATTTCTTAACACTTAAAACATTTTATTAACTTAGTACACTGTTTTATCTTTAACATCTTTTCTTTCACCGCTTTTCATTAGTAAGAAATATTTATATAATATACATTTCATTTATTGTTTTTTTCTCCCTTTATTTCACAGTTATAATTACTTGTTATTTTGTCCATCAGGATTTTATATAATCAGCTAATAAAATATGATGCTGATGTAAAGTAGTTCATATTAGCTCTACTTGGACCAACAAGAGTAAATTGCTGCTGACACATTCATGCATCAGTAACAGTCCAGTAATATTTAACACCAATGGACACTTTACACTGCTGTGCTTATTAACTTGTTACTTATCAGTGACCAGTGTGATTAATAACTGTTGGTCTTCTGTGTTTTGTATTTGCAATGGAGGCCTTTAAACCTTTTGGACTGTATTAAAGCACTGTGCTGTCTTTGTTTCTAGAGTGGGAGAGATTTTATCTATTTGTTGAAATGTAATTGTTTTGATTACATTTTGTTTTTTTACTTTTACTCTACATATTTTTTATGAATTTTCTGTTACATTCCTTCACTTTAACACACTTTGAACTGTGTCCGTGTTTGAAATTCTTGGTACAAATAAAGTTCCCTTGCCTTGACTAACTCATCTGGGTCTCAAAGGAGTCAATATCTATTGAACATGTGTTTGACTTGCTGAAGACCAGACTGAAGGTAAAAAGGAAGTAAACATGGCTGCAGTACAGGCCTGACAGCATTACCAGGGAGGAAGTGAGAGTTAAAGACGTCTACTGACTACCTACTACTACCTTCACAGCTAACAGCTGGATATGAAAACTTGGACTCTGACTAAATGAGTTCAGGCTGATTCATGATGAACAGCATCAGACCACTTTATAACTGTGCACTTCTGAGCTCTAGTGGCTGAATCAGTTATTAACTTTCATATAAGCGCCTTTAGAGAATTGTTTTTACTTGCACATTAGTACATATACTGAGTTTAAAACACTTCAGATATCTGAAATATTTTCCACTGTGATCATTTTCTCATGTTTGTCATTTAGTCATTATCGTGACATATGAACTGCAGGAAAAACAGCTTGAATGGAAAACTGTCAGCTGTCCCTCCTCGAGACTTTTAGCTCTGATGAAATCAATACAACTAGATGATAAAACATGTACATTTTGTGAAAATGATGTCGAAACTACAGTCCCTATGTTTTTCTCATGTAATGTAATACAGACATTTTGGCATGATATACACAAATGGGTAAAGCAAAAGATGTCTTCATTTCTAACCTCTATCTTCAGAGACAACATAACATTTGGTTTGATATTGCAAAGCAAAGATGATGAGATGATGATGAGATTTTTCATTCACAAATGTAGAATTGTGAATTCATCTCCCAAATTTGTAGCTGTTTTAAATGAATTTTAACAGTATATGAAATCCTTAAAAACTCTGAAAGAACAAAAAAATATATGACATCCTAACACTTCCCAACTGAGGTAAATAGCTGAACAAAGACTGAAATCTCCCCTTGTGTTTCCTGCTATTCATTTGAACTTATTTATTTGAATGTTTTTCTTTTTTTTTGTCATCCTTGTTTTTGCTTACTACATATATATTTCCTAATTTTTATATTAAGACCTGCTCTGAAACTGATTATATACAGCCATGTTTGTCTGTAAATTTTGCAATTTTCAATTTAAAAAAAGAAAAAAAGCTTTTTCTACTTGGAGGACAGAAATTTCCGAGATCCCAGTTGTCTCGAACGCAGCATCACGGTCACCTGACACTTGAAACCCACATGGCCTGGTTAGCAGTGTTTGCAAACATCCAGAGCCCTGTAAAGAGTCTTTAAAAGGGTCTGTCTGTCTTTAAAGTAGTTAGACAGACAGACAGGTTCACTCATGGGCCAAAGCTTCATGGTGCTTCATTTGCTCTAGTATACCATCAAGTGGACAATAAATGTAAAACAGAGTGATTATAACGGCAACACGGTGTGTGAAGCTTTGAATTGAATAAATTAATGAATGATGTTTGTGATGCCAATACATGACTGATTAGCTTTTTAATAAGGTGTGTCTTTATGATACAATGACAGGGTCAAAAGGAAAGTGGAAACAAGGGAGAGGGTTATTGTAACTTGGTTTGTAACTTTAGATCATAGAGACAACATTTTATTCATCTCTATTAAAAAAAACACTTCCACTGTGCTGGGCTTCAGGCGGTTTCTTTTTTGGAGATGATTTTATCTGCTTTAGAAAATTATTATTAGGGTAATGTGGGGTAAGAGTTTAATTCTTACCAAAGCCCAGGGGCGTTTTTAGGATCATGAAACATTGGGGGCTTAGCCCAGCCCATAGAACTTCATATCTTCACATAATATAAAATAATATAAAATATATAATAAGAAAACTGCGACAGTATGAACAGGGGGATCTGGGGTAGACTTAATTTCCTGCATTCTGGTGTTTTTCTGCACCAATTTCTGCCTTTTCTGCATCAATTTATTGTGGAAATTATTTATGTAAATTGACAAACAAAATTCAGGTAGCCCGCAGGGGGATGTATCTTTGTTTCACTGGTTGCTTTTAAATGACCTGAAGGCTGGCAGTTCTGCCTTCAGATGTTATGACTGACTGACTTGTTTGATCGTCCTTGTTGCTGAATTGTGGTGAGTATTTAAGAACATTTTGATATTTTATGACCTTTTAACTGATTAATTATTCCCATCTTAAATGTGCAATTGTACTACTGCCTGCCTTGGCCAATGGACTGTCTAGGCAACTTGATGAGTTTATTTTTTTTAAGTAGCCCTTTATAATCTTCCTGCAAATGCAGTGAAGAAGCTGATTATCTGTAATTTAGCTATTTCTACAATTCTATTTCTACAATTATTCTCCTTTTTAAATCTCCATGAAGGTGTTTATAAGATCATTTTAAAATATCACTTTTGCTGCCCAGCCAACTTTTGCTACCTGTGCCTTTTATTATGTATAGATGTAGCTAACCTAACCACTTGCTTTGCAGTAGAACAGGATGCCAATACAATCTGATTATTCCTGAAGCATCTAGATAATCTTTACAATGCAAAGAATTATTGTGGGAGTAACAGTAACGAGAGCAGCTCGTTGTTGAAGCAGGTAAACCTGCATACAGAGAAAGCTGTGCGTCATGCCTAAAACCCAACAGAACTATTTTATCCACCATATTCTCTCTCTCTCTCTGTGCATCTCAAAAATAAATAACAGCTGGTAGCTGCTGAGTGAGAGATTAGTTTCACCGGCGACATTCAGTTTATGGACTCACCGTCGGGGCATCGCTATAAAAGAAATATTAACCACTGTCTATTAAAGAAACAGGCTAATGTCCAAAGCGATGCTCTGTTCAACAACAGGACACTTTTAATATATCTCAATCAATGCAGTGATCGTCTGACATAGATCGTACAGTGGGTAGTCTTAATTTGCTCTGCAGAGACTAAAGACGCTTTTATCTATCTATCTATCTATCTTTAATGCGCCATTAATGGAAAGTGAAAGTATTTCACTGTATTGTATTTTTGTGGATATGATTTTACACATTACAAATGTAAAAATACACATTTGTAGATAGTGAAATATTTGTTCATCATAGTACACATTTGTGGATTGTTTTCTGTGGGTTACAAATATTAAAGTCCAAAAAAATCTTTCATATATATTTACCTTTATAGTTGGTAACACTGCTCCTAGCAGAGTAACTTTACCATAAACTTTATTGTTTGTTTGTTTAAAACCTGTACAAAACCTGTGGAATTGAATTGTGAGATAAGGTGATTAACTATGCTATACGTTTAAATACAATTCCAGTAGAAAAAAGTGAAGTGTAATTGATGTGAGATGTGTCAAAATCGGTCAACCACCAGACTATCTTAAACATCCATCACATGTCTTGGGAACATCCCCTGTTAAATGTTTGGTAGAAGTAGTTTGACGCATGTCTCTTGTTGCTACTGCGGCTGCAACTAATGATTATTTTCATCGTTGATTAATGTGTTGATTGTTTTTTCAATTAACCGATTAGTTGTTTAGTCTATATATAAAATTTAAGAAAATGGTGAAAAATGTTGTGTTTCCCTAAGCCCAACCTTTCCTGGTGCCTACCTGTGAGCAAACCACCAGCAGAGCAGAAAGCTACTGGGTGTGAGAACTGCTAATCTCACTAATTCTAAACCTCCAGCAAGTCCCGACGTTGACACTTTGACAGACAAGTGCACATGAAAACCAGTCAGACTATTGTAAAAATTTAGATCTTTTGGAGGGCTGCCTGCCAGGCTGGAATTTCCCCTCAACGTGTGCAGTGTTCATTATACAAAGAATGAAGGTGACAGGTGCACCATCTATTAGAATAAATGTCAAAGGTAGCATTTTCTTCACTCATATACTTCCTTCACATCACCACCCAAGATTTTCTTCCAGCGCTGGCTACAGATGTACTTCTACAGCATTGAAATTAGTTGTTTAAATGTTTGAGCATTCTGATATCTATCTATGTTGGCCACATGGGCTCATGCTCTGATGAGATGGACAGATACTGAAAGATGTTGCTTGCTTGGGTAATAGAGCAACTAAACATGACAAAGGAAATACCATGGAGGATGTGAAAAAGCAAATGCTATTTCATGTTCTGCTGCCACTTATCACACAGTGATAGTGGTATGGCTACACATGGGCTCTCTAGTTTTGCTGCATCTTCTTTTTACTTGTTCCCATTACACCATTAAACAGCCTGGTGGCAGTCAAATAATACTTCTAATTTCATGTTTTTTTTTAAAAAAACATGTCACCTTGGGAACTTTTTCCAGAAGAGTTAAGAAATGAAAAA